GACGTCGCCGGTTGGGCGCTCTGGCGGCAGGACCACTCGTCTGCCGGATACTGGCGTGCCCCGTGTCTACGTGCCAGTGCTGATGCGTCCGTGGGTCTTTCATGCATGCCATACGGCCGCGTCATTCCATCTCGGCGTCCATCGTACACAGCGTCTGCTCGAGCGCTTCTACTGGTGGATTGGTTTGGATCGTTCCGTGCGCTGGTGGCTTCGGGCGTGTTTGGTGTGTCAAGCTCGCAAGACTTCACGTCAGACTGCTCGGTGGCCCGTCATCGCTATGCCATTGCCGCAGGGGCCTGGTACGGTCGTCGGCGTCGACTTCTTCGGACCTCTGCCAGTGACTGCCAAGGGCAACTCCTACATTTTGTTGTTCACAGACCGTTTCAGTCGGAGAGCCGACATGTTCGCAGTTACAGCGGCGGAATTTACGGCGAGAGGGACGGCTCACATCTTCGTCAACCAATACATGACCAAGTGGGGATGTCCGACTACGTTATTGTCGGACAACGGACTGCATTTCTGCTCGAAGCTCTCCATGGCGATCTACGAGGTGATGAAGATCAAGAAGGTCACCACCAGCTCCTACCACCCACAGACCAACGGCGGCACTGAACGCGTCAACCACACGATGGCCCAGATGCTTGCGGTGGTCGTCAACGAACAGCAAAACGATTGGGACATTCATCTCCCGCACGTTGAGTTTGCCTACAACAATTCCGTAAACCAGTCCACTGGATTAGCGCCAAACGACATCTACATCGGACGCATCCCGCGACTCCCGCTTTCGGTCTTCGATCGTCCCACGGTAGGTGGTCATCAAAGCTTGGCCCGCGATCAACTCGAGTATTGCAACTTGACTGTCGATTGCCAGCGCCGGGCCTACAAACTTGTCCGTGAGTACAACGCGCTGAAGATTTGGCGAGTCGAACGCCGAATAGGGTAACCGTACATATCGAGTGGCTCGGACTCGCGCGGCACAGCGGGAACTAGCCCGGAATCGTGGAGAACGGTATTTGCCCCCTGGGGCTGATCTTGTGCTTAACGCGACTTGGCTTCGCCGTTTCAGCACTTCGCCCCTCCCTGTTGGGCGCGAC